GGCATCTATGAGGATGTATAAATATAGTAATATTGTATATTTTTTCCAGTTTTTCTACAGAAGAGCTATAATAGAGAGAGCAAGAGCAACAGAGAGAAAGTGAGTGAACAAGTGAAAGAAAAGGAAAAGAGAGAAGAATGAGAGGGATATAGAGAGATTAGAACAATTTATTTTACAATTAATTGAACTTTGCTTAGAAATTGTTCATGGAGCAGACCTCACACTTCCTTTTCTACCATAAAAGTTTTTAAACATATAGAAAATTTGGAAAAGAAATAAAAGGAACATCTTTTACCTAGAAAGCATCTCTTTGTGTGTTAAAATAATTTTAGTAAAATAATCATCCAAAATATGTTGCAGGAAGATATTCTCTTTCTCTGCTTTTATGTGGAGAAAATCCTATAGGCATTTTATCTTTAACACCTGTTTAGGATCTACCCACTAGCTCCCACCTCCATCGCCACTAACTGTGCAAAACCCTCCATCTTTTCTCCTGAGTTTATAGGAGTAGCGCACTCACCAGCTCCCTCTCACTGTTAGGATTCTCTGATGAACTTTCCTCCATGTGAACAGCACACCAATGTACCATTCAATGTCTGCAAGAGATTTCTCTTTGATCTGAAGTGAAAGCTGAACTCCCAATTATGAGCTACTAGGACTCCTGAGATAACCCAGCACCCTTTATCCTCTTATTATTACACCTTACTTTTATTTCTCTGAATCTAGGCCAGTTTCCTTACTTCTGCTTCTGGTGCTAATCTTGGTTCCTCTGCCAGAAATCAGACCTCACCCCAACACTTTCCTCTACTCTTATTTCAAATGTCACCTTCTCACACAGGCCATGTTTGGCCAGCCTACTGAAAATTTTGACCTATTTTTCAATATTTTTTGTCCCTTTTGAAGCCCAAAAGAAAACTACTGAAGGATTATCATAATAAAATATTTCATCTATTTTAACTGATTTATCACTAATGGTCTGTCCTAAGTATGATTCTGCGTGTTTCATGAGAACAACAAGAGTTTTAAATGTTTTGTTCACTATTTTTGAGTGCCTGGAATCTTGTAGCTTCTAAGTTCAGATTGCTGAATAAATAGAATTCTCTCTTTGGGCTGGAGCGATAGCACAGCGGTAGGGCGTTTGCCTTACCAGCGGCCAACATGGCTGACCCGAGTTCAATTCCTCCGCCCCTCTTGGAGAACCCGGCAAGCTACCGAGAGTATCTCGCCTGCACGGCAGAGCTTGGCAAGCTCCCCATGATGTATTCGATATGCCAAACACAGTAACAACAAGTCTCACGATGGAGATGTTACTGGGCCCGCTCGAGCAAATCGATGAACAACGGGAGGACCGTGACCGTGATCTATTTTAACTGATTTATCACTAGTGGTCTGCCCTAGGCATGATTCTGCGTGTTTCATGAGGACAACAAGAGTTTTAAATGTTTTGTTCACTATTTTTGAGTGCCTGGGGCCTTGTAGCTTCTAAGTTCAGATTGCTGAATAAATAGAATTTTCTCTTTGGACTGGAGCGATAGCACAGCAGGTAGGGCGTTTTCCTTGCATGAAGCCAATATGGCCGACCCGAGTTTAATTCCTCCACCCCTCTCGGAGAGCCCGGCAATCTACCGAGAGTATCTAGCCTGCACGGCAGAGCCTGGCAAGCTATTCAATATGCCAAACACAGTAACAAGTGTCACGATGGAGACGTTACTGGGCCCACTCGAGCAAATAGATGAACAACGGGAGGACCATGGCCGTGACTTGAAAGTAATGAATTTTTGAAGATAGCAACGTCTGAGGGTTAAAGTGCTTTGCTTATTTTGTTAATCAATTAACTTGATTTGAATTTCAGACAGAAACCTAGTGAAATAACTTTACTGTTCTTACTATTAGTCCAGAACTGAAATAACTCTAGTTTCAATCACCCAGTCAAAAAGAGCAAAAAAGGAAGATTTATCTAGGGGAGAGGAAAATTAAGACATATGTTCTTTTCCTGTCTTCCCTCTGAGTGAACCAACTTCATAATACTGTTGACATTTCAAAATCAGTTTTTGTTGGGTCATTCCTATTTCTCAAATACTTGGTAGCCCACAGAGCTTGTCCCTTTCTACTCTTGAGTTCTTAGTGTTAGAGATCTCAGCCCCTCCACTGTTTCGATCAGCTGCTTTTATATGAGTAACTCTTCTCTGTCCTGGTTCAGCCATCTTCGTAGATATACTCTCTTCCCATCTAAGGAGCACATTTTCTGAACCAGTCTTATTTTCAGTAATTTGAACAAAGTCACTTGGGTTCCGGGGCCGAGATCTCCAAGCCTACTCGGATTTGGGCCGAGCATCCTCCACCTAGATCCTCCAAATTCCAGTAGGCGGGGTCACACCCACCAACTGGCCTCCTGGCGCCGTGTAATCCCATCAACGGCCAAGACTCGGAGACTATAAAATCCAGCTCCCGGACATCTTATTATGACATCTTATTATCTCATTCCTACTTTGGACAAACTGGCAGGCTACCGAATGTAGCCTGCCCACAGGGCAGAGTCTGGCAAACTCCCCGTGGCGTACCCAATATGTCAAATACCAGTAACTATGATGGGTCTCATTCTCCTAAAGAGCCTTGAATATAATCTCAGGGCTAGGATGAAGGAGACGTTACTGGGGCTTGCTCAAGGCAATTGATGATTAACAGGATGATTTGTGATTTGTGAACATCAACCTCTCTAAACCATGAAGGATAGACTTTGGATTTTCCCTTCTATTTTAGCTAGAAGGGAAAGTAGGAAGTTGAGCAGTTTTAATAAAGTCCCAACATTCTAGAAAGAAAGTTGCATATTGGAAATTCCCCTTGGCAGTCTATTCTTTCCTCTTACACCCATTCTCTACACACCCACTTGGGTATATTCAAATTTTCTTCAAATTTTGCCAACAGGGTCTAGAAAGATAAAAGTATTATTCTCAAATAGAAGTCTCTGGCATATATTTCCTAATCTGGTATTTTCCCTGCATCAAATGAAAAATTTGACGATAACTTATAATAATAAGATATACAAAACTCTTCAATAATACACTTGGACCAGAGGGGTATTACTGCACCACGTATAGTTCCCTTCCTTGAACACAGAGCCTGAGAATAGCAGAGTGTCGCCCCATCCATCCCAACTGTGAGGCCGAGAAAGAACCTCACATGTGTCACTGGTAGGCTGCACTTCAGCAAAAAAAAAAAAAAAAAAGCGCAGTAGGCCTAAGTTTCAGTTTACCCCAAAGAAATCCATTAGACTGTCCTTGGTTGAAGCTGGAAATCCACTGGATGCCTCTAGCCAGTCCTGTGATAAGTAAGATATCTCTGGGCACAGCAGGTGGGCATGACCAATTAGCTCATAGACTTGTGACTGCTTTATCGCAATTCTTGGGAAAACTGCCAACATTGCTTATGTAACGATATGGCATATAATGTTCCCTGGAACTAGAGTCGGGGTCCTGGTCAAGACTCCACTGTGTTGGATGAGCTTTGGACCCTAGCATGAGCTAGAAATAAAAGGTCCCTTTGCTTTTGCATTCTCGCATGTGGAACTGGTCTCTCTGAACAGGAAATCTAGAACCCCGGTATAACACAACCTCGATAATAATAATAATAGTAATATACTTGGACCTATTATTAGAAGTTTCTTACCATCCACATGATAGCAGTTATGAACATACAGTGATCTGAGTTTATTGAGTTTATTGCATTCACTTTATATTTGCTCTTAGAATAGTTCATCATTTAAAAATATACTTAACTTTAGTCACCATGAAATTACAAGGTTATTAATGATTTGGTTTCAAGATACAATATTTCAACACTAATTCCTTTACCAGTATTTACTTCCCTCCATCAATACCCGCCCCCATCTCCACCCCTTCATCAAGGAATAGTTTATTGTTTTAAAGTTTATTAATTTAAGAGCATCTGTTGTTGGCATGAAGTAAGGATAAATACTATCACAACTGTTATGTACAAATTATGAGCATACTTGAAAATAATTCTTGCTATTCTAGGGATCCTCCTCTTTTTGTGAAAAAGCAAGATAGATTTTACTGAATGAAACTTGCTTAGATAAGAGGGGAAAAGAGAAAAGGCTGTACAAGAGAACATGGGCTTCTCTGGGTGAAAAAAGCAAGCAAAGATATAGAAAAGCAGGCAAGTGAGATACGTGTTCAAAGGAAAACACGGGCTTGAAGATCAAACCCGGATTTCTTTTCTGAATCAACTGTGGCACAAATCTTCTAAGTAATAGAACTAATCATTTCAAAAGAATTGATTCCATTTTCAAGAGATAACTCTTATTCTCCCTTTTAAATTATTGAATGACAAGTACCAAATCAACAGAGCTTGGTGAGGATGTATGCCTACCCTACCTCAATTCCAGGGTAGCACCTCATGAATCCATGCTCTGAGAAACTGCTCTGATCTGCAGAATTCTTTCTTAGACTGACTGTGTGAGAAAAATTCTGACTCTAGTTGTGTTAACACACATCCTCTGATGGTCTGACTAAGTAAAACCACATACAGGCAAGTTCAGTTTTATTTTCCTGAAATTAAGCCTGTAATTTCATTTTATTTCATCATTTTGAAGGGATGCTCAGACTCCTAAACTTTTTGCACTGTCCCTTTGTAATCTTTCCCACTACTGGCTCACTGTTCTAAGTGCACTTGACAGTACTTTGGTCTTCAGAAGGAAATTTACAAGGTTACATTGTGGAGGTCATGAATAGTTTTGTAACTGTGTATTTTAAGGTGACTAAAAAAACCCCCAACAAACAAGCAACAACAACAAACCCAAACCAAAGTTACCTTGGTTACGTATACTGATATACTTTAATCAACTAATATTTCTACTTACTCTTGATTTTTATGAGTCATGGTTTATCTACAACACGTTTATTTTATAAAAAGAAGAAATCTGGAATTTATAAAAAAAGTTACCCTCATAAGCAGAAGAGTATAACAATTCAGATACTTACCAGGATTTTCCTGAAAACTTCCACTTTTAATCAGAAATTTGAAATGGCTAATTTAGCATTTGCTCTCTTATTTATCTTCTGATGGTTAGGAGAGAGTTGATTATCAGAGTCTTTTCAAAAATGAAGGCGTAAGTTTTAAAGGCTTTTCTGGTCCCGGAGCCTCTTGCTCTTTGAGGCTGTGTGGGAACTGCACAGCCTAAGAATGAGGAAATTCCAGGAAATGCAAAACAAGTAACTTTAGTTTCACTTTACTGCACAGCTATTTCAGTGATGGAAGTTGTAAACATAATAAATTACCAGCACAGAAAATTATCAATAAAGTAAAGCAATAATTAGAAACTATTCACCGGATGAAGTTTTAAGTCATATGGTTAATAAATTGTGAATCAAAAATATAGAAAAAAACTGCAAGAATAGAAATATTGGGGTAACACTCAGTTTGATCAAAGCATCTGTCTCCAGTTAAGATGTGCTGCCTCCAGATAAGCCATGGCAGCTCACAATGTGTTTGAAGATCAGGATGCCACGAAATATGCCAAAGTAACGTATTGATTCTTTCCAACTAAACAAACTTTTGATGAATAAATGAAACTCTAAATACCATTTTCTCTAAAAGCAAGAATTTTTTTCCAGAGCTCTTTTAGGTTGTCCCTAAATCAGGAAATAAATCTTCATGTGGAGCATAACCTCCTTGTACCAATGGAGTAGCACGCTGTTGTCAGAGGCAGATAGGAAGTGTGAAAACCAGCTCTGCTACCTCACTGAATTGGTTGTTTAAACCAAAACTTTGGTCTTTCCCTGTCCATTTCCTGCTTTGTTGTCTAAATGGCTGTATATAAACAAGAATGCTTTGTTTCTTTTCTAGGTTCCATAACTTGTGGGTGTTCTTGTGCATGAAATTAAATTGGAGTTTTTCTCTTCCTATTTTTTCTGTTTCAATTTATTTTAGTACTAGTGAAAGGACCTAAGGAGGCAATGGGGAGATCTCCTGAAACTTTCCCCTATAGAAGCCCTTCATATGGCATGATGGATTTTTTTTTCATTAGAAGTGATTAGTGCACAGAGACATGCTGGAGAAGATCATGTGAAACACAGGGAGAAGCCAATCATCTCTAAACCCAAGAGTCTCAGAAGAAACCACTTTCACAAATAGTGATCTTAGAATTTTAGTGTGCAGAATTCTGAGTAAATAAATTTCTGGATTAATTAACTCTGTGGTACTTGTTACGTCTGTCCAGAAATTGCTGTGTGCTGAAACATCATTTATTTTATTTCATTTTGAAAATTATAGAGTAGTTAGTTACTTATATTATGAACATGATAAAAGTTCATTTTAAAAACTTGTTTGTTTGAGGGTCATGCCTGGTTGTTCTCAGGACACTTACTCTTGGCTCTTCAACCCTGCTGAAGCTTGAGACCCTGGGTTGGCCTCATATAAGGCAAGCTCCGTACTTGCTGTAATGTCTCTCCAAACCCTTCATTTTCTTTCTTTTAAAAAGCTATTTGAATGTTTTTTATTTTTATTTTTGTCTGTTTTAGAGTCCCCTCTACAATGCTCTGGGCTTATTCCTGACTCTGTGCTCAGGGAACACTCTGGGCTCGGGAGACCTTCTGGGATGTCAGTGATCCATCCTGGTTCAAGCATGTGCAAGGCAGGCACTTACCCGATGTACTATCTCTCCAGCCCCATAAGCTATGTTTTAGTGTTTGGCAAATCAGAGAAATCTTACTTCATAATTATTGCCAGGAATAAATGGGCACAGAACTTAATGCATTTTACTATAGTTTTAATAATTTTTCTCTTCTTTTTTCCTTTTTTTTTGAACCCTCATTTTCAAATTTAAGAAATGCAGAATATATGAAAGGAAAACCATACTATTCAAACACAATTTTTATTGTTTATTCTTTTTAGTTGTTTCTATATTTTGCTTAAAAATAAATTAAAATATTAAAAATAAATTTAAAACAATTACATTGAAAATTTTTTATCAGGACCTGAAACTTAGAATTTTAAATGTGCAATATGTGGTTCCTAATAATCTGCCAGTATTTTATTAGATTTATTTCTCCCTTTCTTAATAAGAATTATTTTGTTAATTGCCTGTTCTCACTCTCCTGACAATTTTGACTCCCAGTCACTCTACCTGAGGCATCTCTTTCTCTGATGGATAAAGGTGAAACCATTAGATGGTCTTTCTTATTTGCTTCTTTCTCCAGATCCTCAAAATCCTCTACCTTCCTACAATTCTCTAATTGTTCCTTATAGGGTGGTGACTTTCGACATAGACTCCATCTTAACTTAATCTAGTAACTTTATAAAAATTGATGCATAAGACTGCTATTGGGTAATAATTTATCTCCAAGGTTATAGTTAAGCATCAGTAGGTTTTAGAACTTCTCCCTAAGCATTCATTTTCTTCTGTGGGATTCACACCTGGTGGTATTCAGAGCTTTCTCCTGGCTCTGTGTTCAGAGATAATTCCTGATGGGCTCAGGGGATCATATGTGGTACCGGGGACCAAACCTTTATTGACTGAGTATAAGTTAAGTGCCTTACTTTCTCACAAATGCTCTGAAACAGCTCTAATACCCAGTCATTGTAAGTATGTCAGGCATAAAATGAACATTTTCTCTTGCACTTTCTTTCTCTCACCCTTTGAATATTTCTGTTTACTTATTTATTTCAAGTTTAGGTGACATAAGCACAATAATGTTAACTTTCATGGTTTTGATTAACAAAATGATTGCATCATTACCACCATCAAAGTGTTCAGAAGGGTCAGAGAGATAGCACAAGGGTTAAAGCAGCTGACCTGGTTCAGTCTCTGACACTGCATATGGTCCCCACAGAACACAGAACCAGGAGTAAGCCCCAAGTTTGAATCAGAAAGTGACCTCCAAAGCCCTCCAAACAATGAAATATTATGCCCAAGACCTTCTACCACCTACACTATGCTATGTCATTTCCTGTTCCCTTCTTTCTCCTCCAATTCCCCGTTACCTCACTGTTTGGTAATTTCTGTTTTGAAATCAAAAGTCAATGGTTTGTCTTCTTTCTATATTTTCTCTTGCCTTGTTTTGTTTTTCAATATACCACAGATGAATGAGATCACCTGGTGTTTGTCCTTCTCCTTTTGACTTATTTCACCTATCGCAGTGCTCTTCAGTCCTATCCAAGTTGTAATGAACTGTATGATTTCATTTTTTTCCTTACAGCTGTGTAGTACCCCACTGTATGTATATATATATATATATATATATATATATATATATATGCCATCCAATCATCTCTTATTGAATGTTTGACTTCTTCCCATGTCTTGGGTACCATATTTAGTGCTACAATGAGCATAGAGTTATATACACCATTTTTTTGGGGGGGGGAGGGCAGAGCGATAGCATAGTGGGTAGGGTGTTTGCCTTGCACGCAGCTGAACTGGGTTCGATTCTTCTGCCCCTCGGGGCAAAGCCTGGCAAGCTACCTGTGACGTATTCGATATGCCAAAAATAGTAACAACAAAGTTTCGCAATGAAGACATTACTGGTGCCCACTTGAGAAAATCGATGAACAACAGGAGGACAGTGCTACAGTGCTTTTTTTTTATATATGTATATATGTATATATATTATGTAGGACTATTGCTATTAATTCAGCCATTGATTAAGCTGATTGAATTGGGCATGAACTCTACATTATTTTTTCTTTTTCTATTCAGAATATTTAATTTTATTTTAGTATTTTATTATTATTTCCCCTACCCCTTTTTTTGATTCACCGTGAAAAACAGTTACACAGCTTTTATTTTTGAGCTTCAGTCACAATCATCAAACACCATCCCTTCATAAGTGCACATTTTCCATCACCAAAATCCTCAGTATTCCCCTTCCCCATCCCCTCATTCCAACCCTTCTCCTGGTTGTGCGACAGATAATTTCTCCCCATATTCTCTCTCTACTTTGGTTACATTTGATATTTTGACACTAATTTCACCACCACTCAAACTTGCCAAAAAGGCAATGCTAGACAATTTGTTTTGTATTGCTTGTTATGGATAGAATATAATGTCCAGAAAATTCTGTGTCATTCTCTTCCGGAAGCTTCAGTTTATAGTCTCTACATCTTAGCCATTGATAAGATTGCATGGTGTGGGGGCAGTCTGTGGGTGTGACTGTCAAGCTACTGAAAAACTGGGAACCTTTGGGGAGGAAGCCCAGTCCCGATCCAAGTGGGCTGGGGATCTCAGTAACGAATTCTCACCTGCTTCCGCACTACAGGCCCTAACTGCATCTTTTGATCTCTTTCGAGACTTATGGGTCTCTGAAATAAGGTCAATAAATGAGCTTATATAGCTGGGCCGGAGGTGGTTTGTGGGTATGGCTCCCACATGCCTAAATTTTGGCCATTTAATTTCTTGGTAAACTTGGCCCCAAGTTGTTGGGGGTCTAGCCAAAGGCGCAGCAGCAATTTTGAGGTATCTGGGAGTCTGAAGGCACCATCAGGCTGCTGATGCACTCACTCCATAGGCACAGGTTGACCTGCTGGCGGACCATACCCATGTGTATACACCTTTCTAAGTTAGTGTTTTGGTATTTTTTGATGTATGCTAAGAAATGGGACCATGGGATCATATAGAAGTGCTGTTCTAAGTTTATAAAAAGGTCTCCATATTGTTTCTATGAAGCCTGAACTAGATGACATTCTCAATAACAGTGAAAGAGGGTTTCCTTTTTCACCAGATATCTATTTCAAATATTTTTTGATATATGCTATTCTTACTGGTGTGATATTCTCATTTTGATTTACAGTTCCCTGATAACAAGTGATAATAAACTGTATTTCATATGCTGAATACTGAGCATCTGTATGTCATTTTCATGGAAGTGTCTGTTCATCTCTTCTCATTTGGTGGGTGTGTGTTTGAGGAGGGGTGTTGGGGTTGAGACTTAGTGGATGTGCAAGACTTACTATAACCTCTGTACTCAGAGCTCAGTCCTGGATATGCACAGAGGACCAAACACAGTGCTGTGGATCGACTGTGTGTCATTCATGTGCAAGGCAAGTGCCTTAATCCTGATACCACTTCTCTAGTCCTGTCCTCTCCCCATTTATGGATGGAGTTATTTTGTTGTTGTCGAGC